ACCAGACAAAGTAGTTTCGCTTTCACAACGAAGCACACAGCGTCTTCACGACATGGCTGCAGCGTCAACAATACTATAGTGAGAATAAAAGTTACGCCTTCTTTCTTTGCGTGAACATTTGGGCGGCGTTATGCAAATCTTCCCACATAGTGAGGTAGATATGTGGGGGCGTGTTAGAACGAGCCGTTTTAGGGAGGCGTGGCTGACTCTTAACTTTTATAAAGAATATCTCTTTGGATTTGAGACTTTAGTCATTGCAACTTTACAGATCTTCTTTATGCACCAAGAGCTTGTAACACTCCAAAGAGAAAGGAAAAATTGATCATATGACCCCTTTAAAGACATCAAAGTGACAAACATTTATGATGTTATAGTTATAATGACAAAGGTGATGGAATGTGGACCAAGCCTTAAGTGCCTGAATGTATTTTGTACTAAGAACTGATGCAGTGGCTATGAAGATTTTAAATGTGAACTACCATGTGGAGTCACAGCTGTACTGCTCTTCCCCTGGCCTTCTGTCTCAGGGTACTGGCCTTGAGAGGGGGCGGCAGCCGGCGTCCTGATTGGACTATACTCATCCTCACTGTCTGAGTCTGAAAGCACCACCGACTGTTTCTTCACTGCAGTTTGAACTCCACTAGGTCCTGAATTAAATCATAAAAGAAAAAGCAAAAATGTTAATGGCTACTCATCAGGCGTATTCCATCTGTTTGCATTATTTGCTAGGCTTCTTCAGACCTGCTTGTTCTTCATCCTGTTCAAGTGAAGGATTAGTAGTCTGGCTGGAACCTTGGGTCTCTTTATCTGGGTTGGAAGCCACAAGAACTGGCTCAGGCTCCATGTTGTCTGGCACCATGCCCTCAACATCGGGAATCTCTGATTGAAGTCAAGAAGAAAAGTCAACTCAAAGCTTTCAGCAACCAAACAATCATTAAAGGTGACATATCATGAAAATCTGACTTTTCCAGGTTTTAAGTGCTATAATCAGGTTTTGGTGCATCTACCAATCAAGGAAATGTGAAAAAGATTAACTCAGTAACTTTGTTTTGATAAGCTTTTTTCTGCAAGCGTCTGGGAGCGCGTCTGATTTCGCTTCCCTAGTGACATTGCAAAGGGATCTCATCATAATATTACCACCCCTTAATCTGTAAGTTTCCACCCACGGCGCCGTCATTTTGATTTCGCAAGCGACAACAGTGTACCAGTTCTAATGCCATGCCGAAAGTTTGAGCAAAAAATGCTAACTGTTCTGTCTTTGGCTGCACAGACGAGCAAAGAACACTATTTAAATTCCCAGCCTCAGAGGAGACAAGAGAGCAGAGGATTTATTGATTTATTTACTGTATATTGCTGCTGTCACACAGATCTAAAATAAACAATTAATTTCCCAGCTGTTTACCTTCACAGTCATAACCGACTGTTTTTGTAACTTATGCGTGTTTTTAACGTAAACTTGTGTGTGAATGAGAACTTAGTTTAGTACTCACATGCTGTGACAGCCGCTTTCTGTCCGTGTACTTCGGATGTGTGCGTTCAGAAAACTGTATATCAGAAGTTTCAACTAATATGGTTTAGGCATGATTTCAGCGCAATAAACATGATAATCAGAACCAAAACAGATGTTTTTTAGCAGGTACCAGCTGTAATGGCGCAGCTCTATTCTGGAAAAGGAGGCGGGGAGCAGCAGCTCATTTGCATTTAAAGAGACATGCTCTAAAACAGCGCGTTTCTGCATCCACTCAAAATAAGCATTTTCAAAATTATATAATAAATGATCTGTGGGGTATTTTGAGCTAAAACTTCACATTTACATTCTGGGGACCCCTGAAACTTATATTACATATTGTGAAAATGGGCATAATATGTCACCTTTAAACACTAGATGTACACAACCGTTCAAAAGTATGTGGTCGGTAAGATTTTGGTAAATGTTTTTGAAAGTATTCTCGTGTGCACCAAGGCTGCATTGATTTGATCAAAACACAGTAATATTGTGAAACAGTATTACAATTATTTTCTATTTGAATATATTTTATAATGTCATTTATTTCCTGTGATGGCAAAGCTGAATTTTCAGCAGCCATTACTCCAGCCGTAACTTTCTGACCTCAAATTGAATGTATTGTATATAATAGGGGATACAAATACGATAGGGGATATATTCAAACGTTATAGAAACAAAAATGATGGTGTATAAAATGTATTTTAAGATAAAAAAATAGACGATAAAGAATTAACTTGACGGAGCTCAAACTCAAAACACCACTGGTAATATTATTAGAAAATACGGGATTAGTTTCCACTGTTATGCTGATGATGCTCAACTATATATCTCAACAAGACCAGATGAAACTTCTAAATTATCTAAGCCTTACAGGGGTTCTCAAACCTCTCCATGAAGTACCCCCAGCACTGCACATTTTGTATGTCTCCCTATATCTGACACACCCACTTCAGGTCTTGCAGCCTCCACTAATGAGCTGATGAGTTGAATCAGGTGTGATAGATGAGGGAGACATACAAAATGTGCAGGGCTGGGGGTACTCCAGGACAGGTTTGAGAACCACTGATCTAAGCTAACAGAGTGTGTTAAAAATGTAAAAGATTGGATGACCAATAATTTTCTCCTATTAAATTCGGATAAGACAGAGATATAGAGCTTTTTCGCATTTGGCTCCCAAACTCTGTAATAACCTTCCTGATAATCTTGTACTGCAGTTATATCTGATCAAATGCACATAATTTTTCTTTAGCTTGGGTTAAACAAATCAATTTTGCTTGGTTGGAACAGCAGCTACGCTAATTATGTCTCTATTTGTTTAACTGACAGTCACCACTGATAAGCTACTACTAGATATTGTAGAAACTTAAGTTGCTGTAAAGTTGCTTTGTGTGAAAATCGGGAAAAGCTCTTTACAAATAAACTTGAATTGAAAAAAAAATTAATTGAATAAGTACCCTCTGGTCTATGGTGGTGCTGCTGAGGCACATCTTCGACCTGTTCGTTGTTGTTATTTGGTGGTATGTTTGCATCGTTATTGTTCTGGTGATTGTTGTTGTTATTGTTGTCATTATCATTGTTGGAATTCTGATTGCTGACCAGGGCAGACGAAACTCCGATACCCGTGCCTGCACTGAGTCCGACACGGGCACAGCCCTGAGGTAAAGATATAACGTTAACATACTTCACAACATTTAATCTCCTATAGTCTATATTATATATCTTTTTTCATTTATATTGTAACTTCTTTACTGTTCAAAAGTACACATATTGTGATTACTGTACATATTGTGATAAGAATGATATCAGAGTAAAGACCCCGAACTGTTTCTCAGATTTGAGAAACAGTTCGTTTACCACAAATGGTAAAAATATCTAAGTGATAGTGTCCTGGTAATGGTTTTTATGGGTTTTATACCTCACCTTGGGAGGTTCACGAAACATCTGGTCCAGAGAGATGAATTCCAGGCTGGGAAGCATCTCAATGAACTGACTGAACGACTCCAGCTTGAGAGCATGACAGCGCACTAGAGTGAGGTCCACCAGTCGACTCCAGCGTGAGTGGTCTTTAACAAAGAACAGCTAATTAGTCAGATTTAAAAACTGGAACTAAAATATGCATTGAAAAACTAGATAGAAATGGTACACTAAAAAAAAAAAAATCGGAGTACCATCAAGTCAGGAAATACATAAACAAATGATGATGGATCCATTACCTGTGATCCAGTTGTGTGGATTGTGAAGATGTGGACAGTTATAAATGACCAGATACTTGATGGAGGTAAACACCTCATTAACAGCCTTCATTCCTATGTCTGTGATGATTCCTGGATTCTCGATTACATCAGCAAGACCGTATTTGACTAACTCTGCATGGCTCATGTTACCTGTGTGAAACATGTTTTATTACATGTAAATGAAAGGTTAGTTCACCCAAAAATCTAAATATTGTCATCATTTACTCACCTTAATATTGTTCGAAACCCATAAGACTGTCATTCATCTTTGAAACACAAATTAATATATATATAAGGTATCTGTTCCTCTATTGAAAGTCTGTTCGACCAAAACCTTGACACTTTAAAAAGTTCAGTTCAGTCTTCTGAAGAGACATAAACATTGATACATAAAGCAGATTAAATATGGTAAACACATGCTCAATGTACTTGCTTGACATGTAATTTTATGTCTTCATGAACTTTCTGATACTTGAAGGTTTTGATGGAATGGACTGTCATTGGAGGAACTGAAATCCCTCAGGTTTCATTAAAAATATGTTTTGAAGATGAACAAAAGGTTTGGAATGAGATGAGGGTGAGTAATTAGTTTTGACTGTTTTTATTGTTCTCATTTGTAAGTCGCTTTGGATAAAATCTGCTAAATGACTAAATGTAAATGTAAATTAATGACAGACATTTTATAACAATGACTTACATTGCAACAGAAATTCATCAACATATCCAAGGTGCAAAGTCTCAAACTGAGGGAACTCCAGTTCAGCCATCTTCAGTGCGGAGAACACCCCATCTTTGGTTAAGGAAGGCTGGATTCGAACTTCATGCAACCTGAGAACCAGAGTTGATTCTGTCAACATCTCTAATTCTATAAAGGAATCAGCGTAAGTTTAGCATGCTCTTTGAATGTTTAAACACAGATTTACCTGCGAGCAGCAGTAATGATGAGGTAGCCCAGATCCACTTCAAGTGCATTTTTACAGGCACCAAATACAATTGTGTGCAAATTACGGAACCCTCCTACAAGAGATGTACTTTAGCCAATGTGCCACAGACCTGGAACTTTCTTTTAGCAGTGCACCACTGCATACTTTTTTTCTTGCTCAAAATAAGTAAACAAAGCAATATTGGTATTGTATTCACATAGTCAATGAGAAATAGGTATTGCAAGAACAACTTGCACAGTCAAAAAAAAAAAGTTTTGACTGCTTTTCAATACTATAATATACTGTTCAGCAGTTTTAATATGATTCCTATTTGTAAGGAGCTGACAAAATGTTCATCTTACCTGACCTCCAGCTATCCTCCACAACATGCTGAATCAGTCCACCCAAAAAGGGCACCCTCACCAGCTCCAGCTGCTCTAGGTTGCGGGCAGAGGCCAGACCGGTGACAAGAGGCACATACTTCAGAGAATTAGTGGGACCAGCGCAGTTCCTCATGACGAACGTACGCAAATTCACACAGAGAAAGACTTTGAAGGGCTGAGGCTTTGTGAGGCGCACCCATTTCAGGTACAGATGCCTGAGCATGGACAGACAGGGGATCTCCGGCACATTGACACCTATAAGAAAGACAAAGTAGAAAGGTTTGTGACAAGATGACCAAGATGATGTGGAAAACGGTTTGCACTGTGGAAGCAATCTGAAACTCACCAACAAGATGGAGAGTCTGGATTTTAGCTGCAGCTGGAATAGTGAGTTTGTTCTCTGAGGGTATAGGAAACGCCCCGTTTCTGTTCCTGAACTTCCCTAGAATGTGAACCTGAGGCATGTAGTTCCATATCGCCTCCACCAGCTCCAAATGCGATGTCTCCACACCCTGTAAGTGCAGATATTGTCCTCATTTTAAACCGTAGTTGAAAACAGATTGACAAACATTTTTATAAACTGAAACAACAACTATCTCATATATATCATAGACTCACTATAAGGTTGGGACAGGCCTGTAGAGCCTCCAAAACACCAGGAATGCTGAAGGCCTCATAACCTCTGACCCTCCTTCTCTCTAAATAACGTGGATGAAGACCATAAAGCTGCTCCAAATCAGGCATCTTCTTCATTAGCATGAGGAAACTGGAGTCTGTGAAACCTGAGTTACACACATCAATTCACACCACTGAATTAAGGACAAAAACAAAATAAAATGGACAGAATCATAGAATAAGTGTTGTAAGGTTTTAGGACTGGTACTCTTGGATTCACCAATTTGGAATACTGTTCAAAACAAATCTATATTTCAAGAAAGGTTTGCATAGGAGTAGACCAATATATATGCCATGCCTATTGATAGTTTTCACGTGACGTCACACCCTTATAGGAACGCCCACCTGGAGGGCAAAACGAAGTTTTGCTCCACTGACTGCCAGTTATTTTCACGCAGTTTGCATTAAGTAGTATTAAGGCGAAATTCAGAAAATATCTTATTGATTATGTATATTTTGTACAGGCAAGCAGATGAAGCCAGAATATAAACGCAATGTGCAAAGTTTCACGTTAAATGGTTTCCCATAGAAAGCCATTAGAAGGAAAACACTGAACCATTAAGTGGATTGCGTTAATATTCCGGGCTCATCTGCTTGCCTATGTAAACTATGCATAATAAATATAGAGAATATTACTGTTTCAAATATATTAAGGCACTTTAAGTGTTTTAACAACGTTTTGTCGCACTGTTTAATGATTGAAATATTGCCGCGGGTGCTTAATATGGATTGCAAATGGGCAAAACTTCTTTTGAGAGGTGATCTAAATATTTGAGGCTGTGAAACATATGGAAAATTGACAGGTTTGTCCTGCAGTTCTATGGATGTTTTGCCCTCCAGGTCTTCGAGCCGGTCACGTGACTGAAAGCTATGAGTTAATCGGCTAACCAGAGATCACTGGCACTGGCAAATATCTATCAAAAGCTCTGGTAAAAGTTAATAAACACTTTCTGTTTTCAAGTAAAACTGTAAAAAAAATTTTTTTTTATATTTTAGTTCATCTCATTTGTCATCACTAAATTCTTATTATACAGGTAATATACGCTTACTACAAATCTTGGGGTCAGTTTTTTTAATGAAATGAATAATTTTACTCAGCAATGATGCATTAAATTTAATCAACAGTGACAGTAAAGACATTTTTATAATGTTACAAAGTATTTCTGTTTCAAGTAAATGCTGTTCTTTTGAACTTTCTATTCATGAAAGAATCCTGAAAAAGAAACATTTATCAGTTTCCACAAAAATATTAAGCAGCACAACTGTTTTCAACACTGATAATAATAAGAAATGCTTCTTGATTATCATATTAGAATGATTTCTAGTCTTGACACTAAAAGTAACGGTGCTGAAAATTGAGCTTTGCCATCACAGAAATAAATCTGTATCTGACATCTTGCATTCTATATATCAGCATAAACCATTTTCAACCACTGGATTTAAGTATGGCAAGAAGTATTAAGTATAGCTGAGAGTACTAGGTAATAAGTCATAAACAGAGCTGAGAGTAGTACACTGAAAGCCTAATCAAAACATTTAATACACAAGTCTCCAGGGTAGAGGGATGTGAAATCTGTTGGGCAGATTCTGTGCAGAACTGTGAATATGTTATTTAATCTGAATATAAACTCAAAGCCCTTTGACAATTCATACCTACTGACCACACATTTATACCAGGTTTAGTTATAAACAGATCTCAGTACTGAAATTTGAGCATTAAGAGTGTCGTCTACCTGAGGGCATGTACTCCCACCACCGGCTGGCACAAAGGTCCACAACCTTCACCACCCGCAAGTACAGAGTCACCGCCTCCCGCAGTTTCCGTGACAGACACTCCATACACATTATGTCCTGCATGGGTAAGTATCTGTGGGGAGATGGACTTACGCATCATACTTCAAGTCAACTATACACCGTTGAGTTAATCTATGACAGCTCTGTCAAAAATCTCTGGAAATGAGAATAGAATAGCAAGGACCTTAGCGACCCTAATTAAGACAAACGTTTAGGAGAATGGATTGACAATTATAGCACACTGGTAATACATTTGCTAACTACTGTACTAACTAGTGGTGGGATGTCGGGGTGTTGTACTGACCGGAATATGTGGCAGAGCACCTCATGTGAGAGCTCGTTGATATAGTCTTTAGGTTCCTCATGTCCAAGAGAGCTAAATGTTCCTCCCCCGAAACTATGAGTCCTGGTCACCTTTCGCCGTGGGCCCATCATGTCCAGGGCAGTGAGATATCCACCAAGTGAAGGCAATAAACTCACTCCCTCTGTCCTGATCCTCTTGTTTGAGGCATCAACACACAATCATCACGTACTACATCAATTCAACATCTATAAGACAAAGAAATAGGGGGTCACTTTCACATTACAAGTAAATACATCTAAACTATCATAATACAAAATGAACATTACACATCTGTCAAAAAACACAAAACTAAACACCAGCTCAATGAGGTGAAACTGAAAAAAAGCCCCCAATGACAATGGACATACATCTAAACCAAAATGGCTGTAACACTCACAGCGGGCTAGTAGGATCTATGATATGATTTAACAGTGGTAGCTGAGAGGCATCATGGCTCAAATAAAGAAGAGCTGAGCCGTTCAGTGATCAGCAGCATGTGAGGAAATGATGCTGTTTCAAGCTGTTATGATCACCAGCTCTAGCTAGCTATCAGCTGTTAGCAACCTCACCACTGTTTTATAAAGATATAGACCTAAAAGTGCTGTAACAAGACCTTTAAGAAGACGCGTTCAGCAGAAATCTGTCCATTTATGTCCTCTGGTTTTCAGTCGAGCTCATAAATGCGATTTGTGGTTAGTTTGAAGGTGAGCAGCGGCAGCTGTCTGTCTGGATCCTCGTTCAGTAGCGATGTGAAGCCAGCGTTGGTCTTCCAAACACAAACAGGAAGTTCAGATTTATTTTTCCTTTACAAAATAAAAGACGCGAATAACAGGCGAATGGACTTGATTTAATGTATTGCTCACGACAGGGAATATATTCTAAATTTAAAAAAAATCACCCATAGGAGGTTTTCTAAAAATGTTTATATTTAGGAGATTTAATTTTTGTTTCTTGATTGTAAAGAAGCGGGAAGCACTACGTTTCTAAACGGGAGATTTCCTTATTGATATCGGGTGTCTACAGTCACAGTACAACACAGACCTAACGTTACACAAGTTCAGTGACAATATGTGTGATTATTGTATGTGCACATTGTGCAGTCAGCTTAAAAAACGAGATGAAAGGTGAGTCAGGAAAGATGAGTCTGGGTACGGCTAGTAGAGAACTTTTTTTTTTTTTTTTTTTACAGCCAGATAACAAAAATGTTTACTTCAGTTAAAGAATAAACTGTTAAATAATAATAATAATAATAATAAAAAAACAAACATTTTATTTCATTTCATTCATAAAATGACAATTTGTGCTGTTTGACAAAAGGGGAAAAACAAACCAATTTTATTACTGCATATGCTTCTCAGAATATAAAATTAGTTAAAACTTGTTTAAGTCAAGTTGAGCTTTATTGTCATTCTGTTGCATGTGGGGACATACAGTGGAACGAAATGTCGTGCCTCACAGGACCACGGTGTTTACTATAACAAATTAAACATACATTCAAAAAATTATGTCTAAATATGTTTTTTTTTAAACAAAACAATTTCTTTAGCCTAGTTCATATACATTACTGCTCAATGTATAAGCTACTGCAACATTAATATCTAAGAATGATCTGATTGTGAGTTTATTTAGCTATTTATTGACATGATTAATTGATAATTAATTAACAGTAAAAAAAAAATAAAAAAATTAACAATTAATAAAGGGACCATAAATGAATAGGAAGCTATAAGAGGCGTATGTTCAACTTGACATCTATACAATGACGCCTTCTTCATAATGCGTTGGCCAATCACCTGCACACCCCACAACAATCTTTCGAGTGGACTTGTGTCCTCTGTATTCACTTTTGGGGTGTCTCTCCCCTCTGATTAATGTATACATGTAATTACAGGAAATGGCTTGTTGCTCATATACAAGTCTCTGTTTTCTGGGAGCCGAGTACCTCCTCCAGTACAAACTGCTTTAACTTGGTTGTTATTTGCTAGTGAAGGTGTTGACTTCTTTGCAGCTGTTGTCATTTTGGGATCCCGTGATGTACAGATCTCACTGTCACATCTCTGCACATTCATGGCTCCAAACACATGCTGCCTGATGAATTTCTTATAACGAATGAAATTCTTATAATTTCTTATTAAGCTGCTTTACTTCTTCTGTTTGACCATAAGTCGACTGTGAGGCACACAGGACCAGTAGCAGAATCACGGTGTGATGAATCCCCATGACCTGGTCAGCAAAACATAAACAATAAAAAAAAGTGCTGTTGTTTTTTGGAGATTAATGAAGAAAATCATTTTGACGACATACCTTGCTCTTCTTGACAAAGCAATATTTTGCTCCACCAGCTGTCTTCTTCTGTCTATAAGCTGTAAGAGAATCAAAAGCAGGTAACTAACAAATCGTGAAAAAACTAGCACATGAAAAAGGCTCTAAAAACTCTGCTGTAATATTACTAACCAGCTGCAGTTGAGACTTTATTGCTGTTAGTAATGCTGCTGTTTTTTTTTTAATCATAAACCCCACAAGACCTAAACATGTAACCTGATTAACAGTTAATGTTTAACAAGTACTCAAACTAGAAGAAATCAATAAAAACGTCTCTTTGATTTTTGCAGTATTACACAGTGGGTGTATAATGTATTTTATGTTGCTTATGCTTCATGGCCAAACACATTGCAAGCTTTACAAAAGGACATAAAATACAGTATAATAGGCTAATCTAGTATTTATATGTACGACATTTATTGATCTAAGTTAATGTTAATTCATAATTAACCCATTCATTCAGTGTTTTGAACATTATTGATAGACCACCTCTTTTGATATTAGCGACTTAAAAGGAAGAAATACCAGTGTACACACAGAGAATTATTAATTAAAACATGAAAAGTCTCACATTGTTGGGCATCTGAAGTCTGTTTTCCAAGGCTTATTTTAGTATATGTGGTGTTCAGGGGTGCAGAGTCCAGACATCATAGGCTTAAATATTTGCAATGCCAGGTATCTGTTGATGGCACAGCTTCAAAATAAAAAAGTGACTCTATAGCCTTTCACTGACAATGATTGTAAGGATTTAAAATGCGATTCCTAATCAAAATGTCAAATTCATCTATATGCAAAGAAACAAAAATCTCAAAGAGAGCGGAGATAAAACTTTTCAGATCCAGTTTGCATATTTTCAGTTACTCTTCTGCACCAGTATACCATCATTGAGGTTGTTTGTTCTGGTTGTCAAAGTGCTTATATATGCTTAGACATATAATGCAATGGTGCTTCAAGTGACCCAAGTTCGAGTCCCTCGAAAATACCATTTTAATGTACATTAACTAGCACAGAAATGGAGAAGACATCAGTCAGATGCTTGAGATGACCACCAGAAACTAGCTTATCTATAAGCTACTATAAGTTACGTATATATATATATATATATATATATATATATATATATACATATACAGATACCAGGAAGTTCTAATTTCAATATCTGATATTTCTCTAACACATGAGATGTCAATCAGGAAAATCTTACTAGATTAGGATTCGATTAAAAGGCATGTTTGTAGTACACATAAAAAAAAAAAGTAATCCATTGTGCACATAAATTATTCAGTTCAAGCAGCTGACTGACACTGTTCTCTAATCCTCCAATCAAATCATTTCAATCCTTTCGACAATTACGATCCCCTAAAATCTAGAGTATGATGAAAACGGAGTGAAATCTGGTGTAAAAACATAGAGGGCTGTAACTGGGAATTTTTCATAAATTGGCTCAGGGTTTGAGCAACTTATCTCAGACATGAAGCGCCTAACTGGGCCTCTGATAAAACTGTCTGCTACAAATGTGGAGAGACACAGAAAACTGAACACAGCCTGAGGAGAGGTGACCTCATAACATCAATAACAACACTGGCAATATAAGCAAATGTAGTAACACCTCTGAAGATTAATGCTATCAAAGAATGAACAGGATTTTGCCAGATTTTCATCTATCATCCTCCGACATAGTTCTTTGTTCTTCTTATCCCATTTTATTTATGTATTTATTTATTTATTTGCACTGGAATGAGTACAGGAAAATAAATTAACCTGGGAGAAAATTACATTCTGACCTTTTTTTTTAATCTTTGATATTACACATTTAGAAGACTTTCTCAGAAATCCATATACACTCTTAAAAATGAAGGCGCTTCAAAAGGTTCTTCAAGCGATGCCATAGAAGAACCATTTTTGGTTCCACAAAGAACCATTCAGTCAAAGGTTCTTTAAAGAACCATCTCTTTCTTACCTTTTTATAATCTGAAGAACCTTCTTTCACCACAAAGAACCTTTTGTCAAACAGAAAGGTTCTTCAGATGTTAAAGGTTCTTTATTGAACCATTTAGACAAAAAGGTTCTTCTATGGCATCGTAAAGCACCTTTATTTTTAAGAGTGTATGTCACGTACCATCCTTAAATGTAGATTTGTCAAAGAAAAGTATAAATACATCCATACATTTTATGGAAAAGGCAGAATTTGGTTCAGTAATGAAAATGGTAGTTGAGTTCCTGAATGAAAAAAAACAAACAAAAAAATTATATATATATACAGTATATATATATATATATATATATATATATATAGACAGGAGTTTATACAAACTTTTTATAAAGTTTTATTTTATTTTTATTTTTTAAGTACTTCATATAATAACCTACTTGCCTCCACTTGCCTTTTTTTTTTTAAGTATGATGAGATACTCCTGTCTGGGACCAAATTATGTCTCGCACCAAATTTATTTATAGATTGAGAAACGTGATTGGAACACTGCTCAAATAATCATCTTGAGAAATAGGAACACATTTCTCGTGCCTGTGTGAACACTTCAATCCACAGCTCAAGTCAGCGATAATTGATTACGCCATTACTGCATCTGCCAATGAACATCATGTAAATGTATAGCATCAATCTGCATGCTCAGACAAGACCCTTTTCCCCATCTCACAAGACATTCAGTCAGCCTGTTGAAATGTAACCTCTCACTTCATTTGACCAACTGCTTAAAACCAATTATAAATGAAAGCCAATGATGTCTGGTTCTGGATGCTGAGATGAGTTCCATTTGATGAGAACGAGAGGAGACGATGAGGAGTGGCAGCTGTGGGATTTTGACCCAGTGACACAGTAAGGCAGACGGGTTGAGACACATTATTCAGAATCCTCTGAGACAAACAAAATGAAGCACAAGATGAGATTCAATCCCTCTGCTTTCCGCTCTGTGACGGGAGGTTTGCCCTGTAATTTGAATGACATCAGCCCTTCAGAAAGAGCATCACACAAATTTAGGATTACTGGTTTCTTGAAAGTGACAGTGCCATTGTTATTGCATACTATTTAGAAATATCATAGATAAGAAATATCATAGAATAAAGCAAACCAGTCTGTGACGAGAGGGGCAGGGCCGAGAGCCGTGGGAACGGAGCGAGGCCGGTGGAGTAAATGCTAATGCGCGACACCTGCGCCACTCACCGGTCTCGAGTCCCACGGAGGAGCTCCGGAAGGATAAAAGGAGGAGTGACGACAGTGTTGGATGAGAGAGAACCAGGCCTGGATTTTATTTTGTGTTTTGGTTC